ATAGGTTCCTAAGAGCACACCTTGTCAGGAGTTGTCGGCACGTTAGGCACACCAAAGCTAGAAGTAGGGGTGGAGTCTCCTTGAAGGAGGAAGAAAGGCCCAGAAAAGATGGCCAGGGGACCACAGCCTTTTTCATAGTTTTGCTGGGGGCATAAAACAGCCCCCTGGTGTAGCAGTCAAGACCCTCTGGGTCAGGTTCCCTGCCCGCTCTCCCTAGCCCTGCAGCAGTTCACGTACAGTCGGGCCCTCTTCATGCCTCCGTGCCTTTGCACATGTGATCCTCCATAACGGAATGGCCACACCTTTCCCTCGGCCTACTCTTAGCCTTATCTGCCTGGCGGGCTCCTGCTCACCCTTCAAAACCCATTTTTCCTTCCTCCTTAAGGCCTTCTCTGGTTCTTTCCTGAGAGATTCTTGCCCCGTCCTCTGTTTCCCCACAATATCTTACACACACGTCACTTGCGGCAAATACTGTATTTATTGGAAGAATGCGTCTTTGGCCTGCAGTATTAGGCGGTGAGATCCTTGATATAAACTGTAACTTTTTGTACACGTGTACACTTGCCTGACTGTATGTATTTTTGCTTCGCACACCTAAAAAATCATTTGAGTTCACATCAGGAATAATGATAACCAACATTTATCAGTGGCCCGGTATGTGCCTGTTTCCCAATAGGTACTCCCCACAACACCCTGCAGTGTGGGCCTATTACTCCATGTCACAAATGGGGAAACCGAGGCTCAGGGGCCTTAGGTATCCTGCCCGAGGTCACACAACTGGTAACGCTAAGCCAGGGTGTGGTCACTGCTCTTTTAGATTCCAGAGCCCAGCGTTTGCACTGCTTTCTCACCCCACTGTCCTGCTGCTGGAAGGTCTTCCCCCATTTCTCTCTACCCCTGTGCCTGCCAGGGGATGTGCCGACAGTCTGACCATGAGCAGTCTGACAGCGATCTCTGGGATGGGTGGCCCTTGCTACTCAAAGTGTGGTCCAGGGACCAGCAGCAGCCGCACCACCCGGAAGCTTGTACAGAATCTCAGGTTCCACCATGACCTCCTGAATCAGAAGCAGCAACTGAACAAGATCCCTGGGGATTTCGTGTGCACAAATCAAATCTCTGCCTTAGGCACCTGTTTCCGCCAAGAAGAGCCAGGAGAAGCTTCTGGCAGAGGGAGCTCACAGGTTAAAATCAAAATTTCCCTTTCTCATTGCCACTTCGCTAATTTCTTCCACAGCAGTTTCTTTGATATGTTCAGCCTTAGGTTTCTCTTTTTTTTTCTTTCTGAGAGAGAGAGCAGGGACGGGGTGGGGAGGGGGGAAGGAGAGGGAGAGAGAATCTTAAGCAGGCTCCATGCACCAGGGCCTAGCCCGACGCGGGGCTCCATCTCACGACCTCGAGATCATGACCTGAGCCGAAATCAAGAGTCAGACGCTCAAACGACTGAGTCACCCAGGCGCTGCGATATGTTCAACCTGAGGAATGATGTTATGAAAGACCGTTCAGCCTCATCAACTCCCCACAGTAGGTGTTACACGTATCCGCCAGGAGCCATGCTCTAGAATGCCTGCAGCAAGGCGAACCCACCCGGAGCCCGTCCAAGGTGGGATGGGTAAGTAAACGCTAACAGCCATGAGGACCAAAAGCTGCAACCTCTTGCAACAGAGTGGATATATCTCACCATCTTACTGTTGAGCAAAAGAGGCCAGACCCAAAAGAGGACATATGTTTGATTCCATTTATGTAAGCTTCAGAGATAGGCGAAGCTGTGAGTAAAGTCAGGAGAGCTCCCCTGGGAGAAGCGGTGCCTGGGGGAGGGCATGGGGGGGCGGTTCCTTGGGGGCTGGTGATGTTCCGTGTCCTGACCTGGGTGCTCCTCCGCGGGTACTTTCTGCTTGTAAGAATTTATCAAGCGTATACTTAGGATATGCGCACTTCTCTGAATGTAGGTTATACTTCAATAAAAAGTTTAAAAAAAAAAAAAAAAACTAATGTGGCCTAATGGCCTAAATTCTATGAATATGCAATAAACTTGCAGCATAAGAATTTTGTCCTGCAATTTGCTGCTGACTCCAAGTTCGGGAGGTGTCAGGGTAACAAAGCACCCCAGGGTGAGCATTTGACAGAAAGCATTAGCTGCCCCCCAGGAACCTCAAATACCTAATGGGTTTTCTCCTGCTTAAAATTAAAAACCTGCCCACAAGGATGCCGAGGAAGGGAGAATGTATCCACAACCCTCATTCTGCAGTGTTATTAACTGTGGGAGTTGAACACAGTGGGTAGTGGGATTCGTGCTCCAACTGCGGGCTGAACACCAGGTGCCCTGGAGGGCAGGGCTGGAGCCTTCTTTCTTTACCTATACGTGCCGCTCATGCCTTACCCACGAAGGCCCAAAGATGCCTGTTGCCTAATGCTCACCTATGAACCAAAGCCCTATGGTACTAGCAAGAGTAATAATAAGAACACCTCCCTTTGATTTTGCACATGCTGTGGGCCCGGCACTTAAGGGCTTTGTACACATGATCTCACTTAACCCTCATGACCAGCCTGCGAGGGAATGGCCATTATTATTCCCATTTTACAGATGAGGCTGGGAGCTTACCCGAGCAGAGCTGGGCTCGCACCCAGGGAGGGCACGGATCCAGAGCCAGCTTCACCTCGAGGTGTGGCTGCCTTGGAGGCCATGCTAAGCCCCCAGTTTTATAAATGTGGCCCCCGGGTAGGGTGGTTGGATTTAGCAAATAAAAATACAGGCTGCCAAGTTAAAGTTGAATTCCAGATAAATAATGCATACTTTTTTAGTGTAAGTATGTCCCCTGGGATATTTGGGACATACTTAAAATAAAAATTACTCATGTGTTTATCTGAAATTCAGCTCTAACTAGGATGCTTGTATTTTATCCTTAGCACAGGGGCCCAAGGCAGCCTAGTAACATATGAAGTCACACTGGTGGTTTGTCAGAGTCGGGGGTCTGGACCCAGGGCCCCCACCTCCTCATCCCGTTCTCTTTCCACAGGCTGTAGCCCTTCCCCGAGCCTCCTCACACGCTGTGTATTTACAACCAAACCCCTCGCTTTCCCTGGGGACTACCTCTCCTATTCCTTGTACTCTTTCAAGCCAGTCTTGCTGTGCTGAGGCCACCCCCCAATGTTCCCAGTTCCCCACTCAGGCTCAGACCAGCCCTAGGCTGTGGGGCCGCGGACCCCTCCTCAAGGGAAACCAGGGCCTTCTAAATTCATGCATGGGGACTCAGCCTGGAACCCAGTTCCAGGAAGTAGAGGTTCTAGGCATCTCTCTTTTTTTTTAAGATTTTATTTATTTATTTGAGAGAGAGAGATAGCGATAGAAAGCGTGAGCAGGGGGTTGGGGAGAGAGGGAGAAGCAGGCTCCCCCGCCGAGCAGGGAGCCCAATGTGGGATTCGATTCCAGGACCCTGAGATCATGACCTGAGCCGAAGGCAGACGCTTAACGAATGAGCCACCCAGGAGTCCCGGTTCTAGGCATCTCTTGCTGCATGATAAGCCACACCAAAATCCAGAGGCTCAAAAAACATGACAATCATTCCTTCAGCTCCTGAATCTGTACTCTGAGCAGGTCTCAGAGACGGGAAGACTTGTCTCTGTACCACAGAGTTCATCTGGGGACTGGGGCGGTCACCTCCCACATGGCTGGTGGACATGGTTCACACGGTCGGCAAGTTGGGGCTGGTGGTTAGCTTGGAGCTTAGCCAAAGCTGAGGACCAGGGGCCATGGTTCCTCGGCACATGAGCCTCTGCCTATAGCCTGGGCTTCCCCACATCATGGCATCCAGGTCCCAAGGGTGAGTGTCCCAAGAGAGAGCCAGGTGGGAGCTGAATAGCTCCTTCCATGGCCCACCCTCAGGAGTCACATGGTGCCACTTCTCTTTTACTCAAGGCAGTCCCCAAAGACCACCCCTGGGTTCAAGGGGAGGGGACACAGACTTTATCTCTTGATCAGGGAGTTTGGGCAAGGTTCTGGAAAAGCATGCAGGACTGGAAATATTATTGTGGGAATACAGAGCTTATTATCTGGGACCACGCTCACACTTTCTAACCAACGCCAAAGTAAGGGTTTGGAGACCCCCTAGCATTGAAAATATTATGGTGTGGCCTTCCCAGTGTTGGCTTGGAGCTCAAGATATTCTTTGTTAAAGAAATAAAATTCGGGGGGCGCCTGGGTGGCTCAGTCGTTAGGCGTCTGCCTTCGGCTCAGGTCATGATCTCAGGGTCCTGGGATCGAGCCCCGCATCGGGCTCCTCACTCTGCGGGAGGCCTGCTTCTCCCTCTCCCTCTCCCCCTGCTTGTGTTCCCTCTCTCGCTGTGTCTATCTCTGTCAAGTGAATAAATAAAATCTTTAAAAAAAAAAAAAAAAAGAAAGAAAATTCGGGGGGTGCCTGGGTGGCTCAGTCGGTTAAGCATCCAACTCTTGATTTTGGCTCAGGTCATGATCTCAAAGGTCGTGCTCAGCAGGGAGTCTGCTTGAGATTCTCTCCCTCTTCCTCTGCCCTCCCCCCTAAAATAAATGAATAAATCTCTTAAAAAAAGAAAAAGAAATAAAATTCAAGGCAGCCACAGAACAATACTTGTAACATGATACCGTTCGTGTTAAAACATTCACAAAAATCCTAGGTTTCTGTATACATATACGTGTACGGAAATGCCTTTTTTAACGTCTTAGAGAAGAAGCATTCAGGAAGGATGTAAGAAAGGCACAAAGGTTTCCAGTTGGTGTTAGGCTGGATTATTGTACCACCAACTTTTCTCCCTGAGATAGAATCATACCCTCATGCCCTCGGCCATCTGACTGTATGCCTCCTAGCGGACCAGCCCCCCTACTTAGGCCCTACGACTGGCTTTGACCAGTGGAGTGTGGACAGAAGTAATATGTGCCAGTTTCAAACCTTGACCTTAAGAGGCATTGTCTCCAATTGCTTGCCCTCTCGAGTTTATCCTCAGCCATAAGAAGAGCCTGCCCCTGGTACCTGTTCCTCCTCTGGTCTTGGTCCCAGGATGAGAGAAATGTGAGCCCTGAGCACAACCCAAAGCCAGGAACCCTGCCTTGGCCTGCAGAGCCGCCACTGAGCCCTGTTGAACTTCAGCCAGTCGGAAGACCTAGGAGTGGGAAATACATATTTGATGTTGTAAGCCACAAAGACATAGGGGCTGTTTGTTAAGCAGCATTATTGCAGCAGGAACCTGACTGGTGTAGTCTATGAGACTCTGAGTAATCCGGCCCTTGACAGCTATTCCAGTCCCATCTCCCTTTTCGTCACTTCTTTGTTCACCAAGTCTAGCCCCTTGGCCTTTTTTAGCGCCTCCTAAGTTAATCATCTTCTCATGAGAGACTCATTCTACTCAGACTATTTTCTACCCTTATTCTAGCTAATTCCTACTCGTACCTCATGTCTCAGAAGGTCTCATCTGAACACCCACCACCTCCCATCTAAATTAGCTCCCAACTCATTTAGCTTTCTGAGAAAAACTTGTCGATTCCTCATCATCCTTGAGATGATTTATAATTTCCACATCTCTGTGATTATTTGACCTGTGTCTCCTCCCCCACTGTCCTGTGAGCTCCACGAGGGCAGGTGCCACACTTATTTCATTCATCAATATCTCCCCAGTGGTATCAAGCATGGTGCCTGGGACATGGTGCTTTCCTGAATAAATGAGTCTGGCTGAGTGTTTCCAATCATGCTTCAAGAATCAGAGGAGGACCTCCTTCCCAGTGGGTCCAGGCTACAGTGAAGGAAGTGGGATGTAGCTTAAACCCAAAGGTATGGGTAGAATTTAATATGAGCCAAGACATAGCCATGGTAAGCTGCAGTGACTCTAGGAAGGAGCGAAGGATGGAGAAGTTGGGTCATTAATACTGAGATGAGGAGATTCAGGTCTTTCCCTACCCAGCTGTGTTGCTCCAACTTTATCCAGCAGCCAGCAGGGAGTGGTGGATGGGTTTTGAGCAAAGATAGGGAGAGATGAAGAGTCATTAGAAGTCCCTTCTGGAAGATGTCAGCAGGGAAGTGGATAGACTGGTGTGAGGTGAGGAGGGCATGAGGGATGAAAGAAGAAACACCACTAAAGCAAAGACACTTATGGCCGGGGTGTCCACACAGAGTAGCACTCCCGCTAAAGGAGCTCAATAAATATTTGTTAGCAATGATGACTGGATATGGTGGAATAACGTCTATGTTTCTGCCTTGAATGGGGGAAACAGTGCAACTACAAAGAGATATGGGGGAGACAGGAAATGGGCTAGAAAGGGTGAGTTTTCAAGCAAGTTAGCACAACGTGCAACTGGAGCTCAATCCTTCTGGAGACCTCTGGGGAGCAGTATTGAGCACCCACCTCAGAGTTCTCCCACCCGAGGGCAGGGAACAGGGTCCTTACACACCGACTCCTATCAGTCCTTGTTTGTGGGCTGTTCCAGGAACCTCTTATTCCTTGGCACTTCCAGGGCCTTCACACAGCCAGAGAGAATTCTGGTGATGGGAGAAAGCCCTCAAACTGGGAGATGCAGACTCTGGCAGTTGAAAGTGGGTAGCCATGCTCGGAAATGGAATGGAAATGCTATGTTTTTAGTCCCTGTGATATGCCAGGCACACCCCTAGATCCTTACAAGTATTATCAGCTCCATCTTCACAAGAACATTTTTATTTTTTTAGAGGATTTTATTTATTTATTTGACAGAGAGATAGTGAGAGAGCACAAGTAGGCAGAGCGGCAGGCAGAGGGAGAGGGAGAAGCAGACTCCCCGCAGAGCAGGGAGCCCAACGTGGGGCTGGATCCCAGGACCCTGGGATCATGACCTGAGCCGAAGGCAGCCGATTAACCAACTGGGCCACCCAGGTGCCCCCACAAGAACACTTTTAAAGATGAGGAAACAGAACCCCAGAGTAACTAGCAGCTATAAATGACAGATCACTGAGACCCACCTTGCCAGAGGGACCAGCCAAGACATGGGACCATGGTGTCTGCAGGGCATTGGTGGGACTCAAACTTCCAGCCCCAAGAGCCCATTTCCAGCCCACTATAGCAAGGGGAAATGAAGACAGTCAGAGAGGACTCTTAGGAGAGCCACAGTAATGGCGGACATGTTGAACTCCCCGATGAACAATTATCACAAAAGATAAATTTAGTAAAGAACGTGGAAACCCTACTGTTGTAAGTGGAGAGGATTAAGTGAGAGTCAAGATTCTGAAGGGAATGAAGCATTTAAATGGCGCTGACATAGACAGAGATAGGAAGCCTTTTCAACAGTGTCGGCTCCTGAAGATGGCAACGTCATCCGAGTAAGCACACTTCATGGGGGTTCATCTCAGGGCGGTCCCACTGCATGCTAACCCACACAGTTTATCTCCCTCTTGTGAAGGCAAGAGAAATACCGAGGGCCAGGTATTGCAAACGAAACACTGGGCCTTCTCAGCCACATCAAGGACAAAAATAAAGGAAATTAATTTATTGATGTTGTGTGAAGGCAAAGACTTGGTTTTGAAGAATTGTAGTGAATGGTTGGGAAAATATGGAGCAAAACAATTGGAAAGCTCAGTTAATGCTAAACAAATTATTAATCATTAACCGTAGTTGGAAAACAGGCCTGTGCAGGCAGATGAAAAGGAATAGGAGACAGAAGGCTGTAGAAAGCCGAGACACTCAACTGTCTTTAAGTGTGTGAAAGGTTATTAGTTATTATCCTGCAATTTGGCGATTGTTACTGAGGCGGTGTGAGAGGTGGGGCTGGGTAAAGAGGAAGGGATGATCATATCAGAATTCACCTGAGGAGCTTTCTCAAAACGCAAGTGACCCACGCTATCACTAACGTCAGCACATTTCTCAGGACGTGCATCTCACGCTCACTTGGGCGTCTGACGTCTGTTATCCCACAGTCTTATCAAAACTGCTGTTTGCCTAACTGGAGAGTGGGCCTCACCATACCTCCCCTTCTGTGGGCTTCCATGAAAAACAAAGGGCTGGAAGAAAGTTCTTCCTCCCCCCGGCACCCAGGCGAGATCGTTGAGTCCCTGAGAACAAGACCTGGACCGCTTCATGCACTGTGGTCCTTCCTGCCCCCTCCACAGCGCCCAGCACATAGTCAGACACGTGGTCATCGAATGAAGGACACAGGCACACTGCCAACCCAACCAGAATGACCACTTCCGGGCATCTCCTCAAAAACAGATAGATTATTGATAGCACGATGGCCTCTCCCTGGGTAGAAATGGTACGAGGAGAAACACCCACCCAGGGGTGACGAGAGACTGGGCCAAGAAACTACCGAATGAAAAACTGCTAGTCCTCTCAGCCTCAAGCAACAGCCTTCAGCGAGCCCGAGCTGGGGCCATCTCGGCCCCCTCTGGAAGGGCTGCCGTAGGAACATCCCAACCAGACTGCCCTTGTCCTGAGCCCTGCATGATTTATGGCCACATCTACACACACACACTCACTCATCCTGTCCACAGACTGAATCTGGGCTAAGGCCCATAAAATAGGCAACAGCTATTGGCAAATTCATTAATTAGGATTCTGTTTGTACTTTTATTGTGAAGGAAAATCATTTGTCAGCTTAAAGTCAGACCCAGTGCCTGATGAGAACTGTTATTCTAAGAAGGTATCGACTGACAGCGCTACGTGGCACTCCTGCCCTCCCCCCCCCGCCCCCCGCGGCCACGTGCCACCCCACCTCTACCCGGCCACAAAAAGCCTCCTGTCCTTCCACTTGATTCAGGGCCCGTGTGGGGGACCTTGTGAGTTGTGTTTCCAGTAGGCTCACCCCCCTCTTCCTTGCCAACATAACCCTGATTTTGCCTAAGGAAGGGGCAGTCAATGCGCAGCAAGGGCAACTAGGCCCCTCCGACTCTAGAGAGCAAAGCTTGATAGGTCAAAGCTAGCCGTGGCAACTCCATTTCCTCCCCCAGTGACACAAGTCTGACCAATGGCGTGTGAGAGGAAGTCTGTGGGGCCTCTTTTAAATGGACTCGAGGCATTCTCTGGTCAGGCCTTCAGACTTGTGTTGGAGCGGGGCCCCTAGAACCAATGGAGCCCTCCTGTGAACACAGGGAGCCAAGACAGAGGACCAACAGCAACACGCTGAGGATGCCACAGCAAAAAGGTGGGAGGGGCCTGGGTCATTTGATGACAGAGTGAGCGCTGAGTTACCCAACCCGGGAGTCGTCCTGCCTCTGGGCTTCTGGATCACAGCAGATGATAATCTCCCTGTTGTCTCCACCATATTGAGTGGGCTTTTTGTTATTAGGACCAAAAGCACCGAATATAGCTGCAAACATCCTGGTCCGCTATAACAAAGTCAGACTCAAACTACCTCCAGATAGATGCTTATTCCAATAGATAGCAATGCCTCAGCTCTGGATCTTGCATTGTGGTGGTCCAATTCCAGATTCTCCCTAGACTCTAGTCATACAGTCTTTGCTGGGAAAGGACAGAAATCCTTCGTGTGAACCACTTTCCCATCAGCCATCTTGCTATCACTGGTGGAAACCATTCTCCCCACCACCCCCCCCAAAAAAAAAAAAAATCAGGAAGCTTTAAGCCAGCGTGTGCAGTGACAATACACACAAACACAAACACACACACACACACATTGTGTGTGTGGAATGGTATCCCCCCAAATTCATATGTTGAAGTCTTAACCCCTAGTGCCCCAGAATACGACTGCATTTGGAAATAAGGTCATTGTCAATGTCATGAATTAAGATGAAGTCATATTGGAGTAGGGTGGACTCTAGTCCAATATGACTGGTATCCCAATAAAAAGGGGAAATGTGGACACAGACAAGCATGCAGAGAACATGCCATTCAAAGATTGGAATTATGCTACCACAAGCCAACAAAGTACCAGGAGTTAGAGAGAGTGTGGCCCCACCCCCACCTTGATTGCGGACTACTGGCCCCCCGGAACTGTGAAAGAGCACACTTCTGTAGTTGAAGCCACTCTGTTTATGGTACTTTGTTACCAGTCTCTTAGATGAAGTTCGGCATAGTATGTGGAGGCACAGTTCCCATATTAAGAACCATAAGGCCAAGGTCATACCTTTCCGGCAGAGCCCAAGTCTTCTCTAAGCTGCAAAGTCCCTCTTAGCGTCCTCAGACACTGAGCTAGCTGGGCAAGCCAGCTGGGCAGCTTCCCAGGACACCAGTCTGTTAGAGGGTCCAAAATACCGGTGGAATAAATAGAAATACCCCTGCCAGTTGACGCAAGTTTCCACAAGCATCTACCAAAGTAAATAGCAGCCTTATATGGAAATTTAAAACACACCCCTGGCTGGCACTGACCCCTCTCTTTGGGTATTTTTGTAATACACACATACAGTTGCGATCAGCCGAAAACCTGAAACCAAATAAAGCGTGGTGTAACTTTCTTACTTACCACAAACAATGATTCATTTTATTAGATAATTTGTAAGCCCTTCTCATATGCTTCCTCCACCAAATTGTCTGCCTTAGGAAATTGCCAAAGAAAACCGATGTGAGGAAAAGAACCACAAGAAGTGGAAGACATTTTGCCACTTCTGTAGACCATTAATTTTTTGACAGCCAGGGGAGGTAAATTAGTGAGTAAATCTGTCTGTGCATAAAATGTTTTAATTAATAAGTTTGGCGGAGTCTGTTTCTTTACCTACAGTGTCCTTCCCCCCACCTTTCCCCTATTAAGAGAATCAGCATTTGTAGCGGGGCACATGGCCACCCGGAATAAAGACTCCGTGTCCCAGCCCCTCACGGCCAGGAGTGACCATGTGGCTAAGTCTGGGCCAGTAAGATATAATCGGAAGTAGCACAGTTCAGTTCTGGGAACCCTCTACTGCTTCTCCTTGATCCTTTTCTCCTCTCCACTGATCAGAATGCCACTGCAGCCATCAGCTTGGACCATGAGGTGGCCTGGGGATGGGGGACCATGCCTGGCCAAGCAGCGGAATAGGAGGATCCTGGGTCTCTAAGGACTTCATACAGCAGAACTCTCATGTCAGGCGTAGTCTGCTGGTGAGAGAGACATACACCTCTGCCTTGTTTTACATCTCTCTGTGACTTGCAGCCAAATGCTGTTCTGGTAGGAAATCCATTTTTTTCCCCTGTGTGAAAGGGCACCAAATTATTCCCCCGGGCAGAATTTTGGTCTGGCCTCGATCAGAGAAAGCATGGCACTCTCTCCTGGTCTGGCTCCCACGAAGGTAGTAGGTGGTATGATGGTGACGCTGTGAGGAGAAAGAAGAGGCATTGCCGAGGGCTGAGCCCTAGCTCTCGAGTCCTGCGTGAACGGGAAGGGAGCCGTGAGCCACTGTGGTGATTTTCAAGCATGGCTGCAAAGTCTTTGACCTTCCTCCCATTGAGAGGTGGATTCCAATCCCTTACCCTTGAGTAAAGCTGACCCTAGTGACTGCTTTCTAACAAATGGAATCTGGTGGGAGTGACAGTGGGTGACTTCCAAGCTGGGTGGTAAAAGATGTAAGACTTCCATTTGGTTCTTTCTCATGGGGTGCTCGCCCTTGGAACCCAGCTGCCATGTTGTGAGGAAGCCAAGAGCCGATTGGAGAGGCCATGTGTAGATGTTCTGATAAGACCAGTCGACATCTGAGCCTGCAGCCTGTATTAACAGACAGGTGAGTGAGTGAGGCTTCAGATAACCCAGCCCTTAGCTTCAAACCAGCCCAGCCGACACCAAGTGGAGCAGAGATGAGCTGTCCCTGCTGAGCACTGCCGAAATTGTATATTCGTGAGCAAAACTGATGTTGTCATTATTTTAAGCCACTGAGTTTTGGGATCCTCTGTTATATAGTAAGAGATCATCGCGACAGGCACCCACTCTGTCCCACAAGCCCATGTGCCAGTACATGTGAGTTCCCTGCTACCACAGAGCTTTCTAGAAAGTTCCAACCTCATTTCAGTGGGCTCCTGAGAAGAAAGCAGGGGTCCCGAGCCACACCTGGGCTGGAGGGCCAAAGGGGGCAGAGGTTGGTGGTTCTAGTGTCCACGAGAGGGGAGATCCGGGAGGAGGAAGCCCATAGCCCCTCCCTGGCCCGGCAGTTCTAATCAGAGAGTGCATGCACACTTGTGTGCACAATGTACATGTATTTACACAAGATGGGGAGAAAAATGAATCTCAGGCCAGAACCCCAGCCCCAGGGCCCACACGCAGTCCCCTTTACTCCCCATTTGGCCCTCTGAAGCCTCTCCTTCCAGGGCCCAGCCAAGACGGCCCAGGTTTCATTTCATTAAGGCATTTCCTAGGTGCGCCCAAGACATTTCCAGGAAGATTTCTTGAAATGAATCCCCGAGTGCCAGCAGCATTAAGAGAGTGATGAGACACCTCACAAGACACCCGCCTGGTGGAAGAATCTCCATGGTTCTCTGCCAAGAGTCAAAGGCCCCTCCCTGAAATGGATAGAACTGTGTCCTCCCCAGATGGCTACGTTGAAGTCCTAACCCCATGTGACTGCATGTGGAGATAAGCCTTCGGGGCGATAACTAAGGTGAGATGAGGTCCTGAGGGTGGGGCTCTAAGTCCACAGGACTACTGTCCTTGCAAGAAGATGGACCCGAGAGCTTGTTCTTTCTGCGCGCACACAGAGGGAAGGCCATGTGGGGACACAGCGAGAAGGTGGCAATGGACAAGCCAAGGAGAGAGGCCTCAGGAGGAACCCTCTCTAATGGCCCTTTGATCTGGAACTTCCAGCCTCCAAGACCATGAGGAAATGAACATCTGTAGGACGTTCATCTGGTCCACCATTGTGCTTCGAATGTAAGTATGTTTATGTCTGATTCCCCACCCATCCCATGCCCCAATGCTTGAAGGGGAAGGAAGGAAGGAAGGAAGGAAGGAAGGAAGGAAGGAAGGAAGGAAGGAAGGAAAGGAAGGAAGGTAGGAAGGAAGGA